ATGGAAACAGGCCTTTTAAGAAGGAATTGGGTTCTTAAAAAAAAAAAAAAAAAAAAAAGCCTTATTTCAGGGCTCAAGGAAGGTAAGTATGAGATAAACAGATAAACATGCACCACCACTTCACTATACAAGTAAGGGAGTGCTTGAAGTAATGTTTACAGAGGCCATGAGAGGAAGTGCTTCTACTAGCTACACGTAAGACAGTTTGACTGTCAAAATAGTTAAATACATAGTTGAACATTAGAGGTGAAAGGCAATGTGATGTATGTAACTTAACCTAAGTGACTCAGAAAAACAGTACACAAATACGCAAACAAAATACAGGGGAGGAACTGGAGAGACGATACGGCAGTTAAGAACACTTGCTGCCCTTTCGAAGGACCTTGGTGTGGTTTCCAACAACCACAGGGCGACTCCCAACCATCTGTAACTTCAGTTCTAGGGGATGATACTATCTTCTGACCTCTAAAGGCACCAGACACACATGGTGTACATACATACACAACATACACATAGGCAAAACACTCATAACAAAAAATCTAAATTTTAAAAATATGTGTCGCACATGCCTTTAATCTAACACTTGGGAGGCAGAAGCAGGTGGAGCTCTGATTTTGAGGCCAGCCTGGTCTACAGAGTGAGTTTCAGGACAGATTACACAGAGAAACCTTGTCTCAAAAAATGTGTGTGTGTGTGTGTGTGTGTGTGTGTGTGTGTGTGTGTGTGTGTGTGTGTGTGTTGTAGAGGGAAGTCATAAATGAGAATAAGCAAATACAGAAACGGGAGGACAGGAATTCAAATCTACTCATGTAGATAATGAATAGGTAAGTAGGGAAGACAGAAGGGCTTTGTTTACACGAGAATGCTCTGGGCTGGAAATGTGGAGAGGGCTGATAGATTTGCTCAGTCATTTCACATCCATCATGTCAAGTGTATCAGCAGTTATGAATGTTGAACATGAAGGAAACTTCTGATGAGTAGGATATAATGTCAAACGGCTCCTCACAGATTGCGTTCTATTTCCAGAAAGGAAAAACAAAAACACAGTAACTACACAGTGGAAAGTTTGGGCCACACATTAAAAGGTGATCAAAGTTTCAACCATCCAGTGAGTAGATGGATATCATGTATGTTCTAGATGTGCTACTCTGAGACACAGGCAACAATCTGTGTAGTTGTCAGCTAAATATGCATCATCTCCACCTATTTGTGAGCGAACATCAAACATAGAATGAATCGTCTCCTAAAAAACTGGGGTAGCTCCCTTCAAATACAGCTTGAACCTATATCCTTCAAATACATCAAGGACTTAAAAGACAAAGACTGGAAGTTTTCCGATGCTTAAAAATAGGACAACTAAGTGCATTAACTACCCCAAGACAGGCAGGCCCCTGTAAGGGAGGGAGGAACACTATAAAGGGCCAGCCTCAAAAATTGTAACATGATGGTAAAAATATGTCAAGTGTAAGTTTAGTTTATCAAGCTGTCAGGAAATGCCCTCCCAGGAATACAGAAGTGAAGAGTCAGGACCCATGTTGCCTGAGAAAAGTTCAGGAAAAGGGGAGGGGGACGGCTGAAAATGTGTGTATTTGGGGAAAAAGAGAACGCCTCCTCCCACAAGAGGCACTAAGTGGCATGGATGATCTCTTAATTTTTTGTAAATTTGAAATTATTTCTGATTGGATGTCTTTTTTTTCTTTTAGTTTGTTTTAAAGCAACAACAGAAACAAAGGGGTCTTAAAAACTGTTAAATAAACTGGGCACAGTGTGCACCCGGGAGGCAGAAGCAGACAGACCTCTGTGAATTCCAGGCCAGCCTGGTCTACACAGTGAATTCCAGGCCAGCCAGAACTACACAGTGAGAGCCTATCTGGGGGAGGGGGCGGGAGGGGAGGAGATGAAAAGAAAGAAAACTGCAAACTGCTAAATAGTTTTTAAACAATTTGCTTGTGTGCTCTGCTTTCAAGTTACTCTTCAAAATGCTTTCTGCTTCTGATGTCTGTTTTTTGAATGATGATGCTTTTACAGTTTTAACTAAATAAGTTAATCTGTTGACGCCAGCATTCCATCAGTTGTAGCTTACTCATTAGAAACAGTATTGGGGAGGAGGTGGGGGGGGGAGGCACTGAGATTTCAAGACCTGTTTCCCAAAATATCCACATTACCATTAATTTGCTGGTAATTGCATTCCAGTTTACAAAAGTAAAAGCCTCAGATTTTAAATATGACTTAGGTTCTCCTCTATGACGAGTATGCAGAGCTAAAATGAGTGGGTGGAAGTGCGTAGGACAGAGATGGTAAAGCCTTTCTAGAAGACAGCTAGGAATTTACACCCTGGTACCCAAATACTAAGTGCTACCTAATAGTGGGACTCTTTAGTAAGGTGTAGCATGTTTTGGAGTTGCAAGGTTCAAACTGAATATTCTTCCAAGGTTTTTATTCATGAGTGTGAAGATCTGATATAAAATCACTTTTTTCCCCTTTGAAATTTAGCCCAGGAATTTGCACCCTCTTGTGGTGGAAATATAATTTTTCCCCATTGGCTTTCTGTTCAGGCACAAGAACTCTGACTAGATTTTGGTTTCTCCCATTTTAGTGACTCAGTAAGGATTTATGGTTTGTTAGGTAAGATTTTAAACAAGACTTAAATATTCTAAAAGAGATTTTCACATAAATTTTAGTCTGAGCAAAATGCAGATAACGGAGAACTACTTGGCCATGTCACGTCTTGGTCTGATTGCTAAAATCCACTTCTCTTCCAGTTGTACGTCAGTAATGCCAATCATGGTAGTCTCCAATTCCCATACTCCTTAGTACTTAAGGAAGTCTCATCTGCTCTTTTAACACTTATAGTAACACTTCTTCAGAGTGTGTTGGCACAAGCCTGTAATCCCAGCACTCCAGAGACTGAAGCAGCAGTGTTACAGTGTGGGCTACAAAGTTGAGTTCTAGGCCAGCCTCAACTCCATGAAAAGATATATTTAAGTTATGATTGATCACAAGTTGTTTTATAATAAAAACTAGAGCAAACATAACTAATATTCCTGGTTTTTAAACAGTTGGGATCTTTTTTTTAAAAAAAAATCATTTGATAGGGCTGGAGAGATGGCTCAGCAGTAAGAGCACTTGTTGATTTTGCAGGGGACAGGCTTGGTTTCAACACCCATATTGTGGATCAGAACCATCTCTAACTCCAGTTCCATGGGATGCACATACACAAGTGTAGGCAAAACACTCATACAAAGAAAGCAAGTTTTAAAAATCCACGAGAATTAAGGAAAATGTAACCAAACATAACCCTAAACTGTAGTTACCTAGGAGCAATGACAGTTTTTCTTTTTAAAAATTTCATCTTATTTAGCCTAGTGACAGGAAGGATGTCTTGCAAGCAAATAATCTTACAAAAAAATACTTTTGTAAGAAAAGTGTTAAAATAGTGACTTATATTTTGTCCTGCCACAGAGCCGTTTTTAAAAGGCAGTTTGCCTGGTTCCTGTGCTCTCACCAGCTGTAAGAAAGGAGAATTTCAAATCTGAACATCAGGTATCATGTGTAAAAAATAATACCTACTTCCATAGAGGTAGTGTGAGAGTGAAAATGTCTAATCCCCCTGGTACATTAAGCACTACATTATCAGTACCCTGTGGCTGTTAAAACTTTCTCAGGGCTTCATACAACGGAAACCTATCTTTGTGAATCCATAATTTACTACACCATTAAAAATAATTTTTTTTAAAGCACCGTAATGACGTTCAAAAATTGTCCATCTCCGTCTCCAAACAAGAACCGAAAGCTCGGGTGAAAGGCTCTGGACCGTGGGCGGGTCGCGCGCCTCCGGGTCTGGCGGGAGGAGGGAGGCGGCGGCGGGGTGCTCCGGGGTGTGACAGCTGCGCACTGGTCGTCGGACTGAACCACGAAGTTCCTACTTCGTCTAGTGGTTCGAGGCTTAGATGTGACACAGATCTGTCGGGCGCGCTGGCTCGACACCCGCGCGCTCAAAAGTTCCCGTGTCGCCATGCAAAGCCTCCGAGGCACCCGCGGCGGTTAGGAGTCAAGTGAAAGGCGGGGTTTGTGCGTGTTTTGTTTGACGAGACGCTTAAGATGGACCCTAATGTGCTTCCTTCCCAAGGCAGAGACCTTGTGTGTCACCGGGGTGGTGTCTGAAAGGCGAACATCTCCACTACGGCGCAAGAGCGACGCTGGCACACACACACACACACGCTCGCGAAAAGACACCCGGGGACTGGAACCGAGGAAGTGGAGTCCTGCGCCACGACGACTCTGCGCATGTGCTGGAGCGTGGGGGGAGGGGAGAGAGGTAGAAGTTTTCCGCATGCGCAACAGGGTTCGGGGGTGGGGGGGCGGGGGGGAGGACGGCGGAGACAGCTGTGGAGACAGCCCGCGTTCCCGGCATGCCCCGGGGCGGCGGGGTTGGCTCTAACGAATTTGAATGAGGAGCCTCGGCGCTTTCGGCGCCATTTTCGAGTGATGCCTCATCTCATCCATCTAGCGGGACGGAAGGGCTAACCTGTCCGAGCGTGGCGCGACGCGGGGATCGCGCCGGAAAATCCCCCAAAAATCAGCAAAAAATATAGATATAACGGAAACCAAGGGGCAGTCGGCGGAGCTCCGCCGGACTTGGCGCGGACGGTAAGAGCTGGAAGTAGCCAGAGC